AAAAATGCTCCCAAGAGGAAATCTTTTGCTTTTAACTGTAGACCTAACCCAAAGCCTGCTGAGATCAGGTTTCTCTTACAAACAGCAGTGTCCTCTTAATCCATACTGTTATTGAGGAAACTACCTGGGCAGTAATCCAAACTCAGATCTGAATCAATTAATATTAGCGATAATTGGAGGAAGACTACATTCAGGGAGAGAGGGGCTCAGTAAAGTCCCTCTAAAATATCCATTAGACAGCAAAGAAATGTATGTATAAACTCAGAAGACGCTGTTCAGAACAGCAGTGGTGCCTGATCACAAGGTGATCTAAACGTACAAGTCTATTATTGTAGGCGAAGTAAATTGCTGAGGTACTCAAGGACACACTGCTGCTGCTACTTCACTGCGTACTTTTGCCTTTCACACCTATCCTGACCACTTCTCCTTCCAGTCAGGATCACACGCCCTTCCCCTGACTACCAACAACCTCTGGGAAGCATCTGATGCAAACAAAAATAACCTACTGGACCTTAAAGACTCCAGCTTTCCATAGCCAGTGCTCTGTAGATCAGGGCCAGTCAGTAGGCCATAATTTGAGAGAAAAAGCACTGGACCCAGCCGCTACACCATTGGTTTAAATGAGCTAAGTAATGCTCTTCTTTCAGAGCTGAGATAGATCCATCGATCTATCTGTGCTGCAAAGTTGCACTGTGTTGTCTGTACTGGATGTAATTGAGATACTGGTTTCTCTTCTCAGGACACTCTGGCATGTGCCGAGCTACTACAGAGCCTGGGGATGCTACTGTCAGCGCATAAAACAGACCCTGTGATTGTTGGTCATACTGCTTGTATCATCAAAAACCTGAGCCTTTCCAAAAACAGACAGGTAGGTACCCAATATTTATCACTGAACTATACCCTGGGAGGTTGCAGTTATGTTTATATCAAAGCAGCATTACCCACAGATTTTTTTTTTTTTAATGAAACATATGCTAAGGATACTCTACACAAAATAGTGCGTATGAATAAAAGGACATGATGTACCATAACGACAGGGTGTGGGTGGTTTTTTCATATTTTTCCAATACAAAAATGCTAATGAAAATAAGAAACGTCTAATTTTTCCTATGAGCGATGTGGTTACCTAATTTGAGTGACTGCATCATAGGTATAAAACATACTTCCAGCACAGACATTTCATACTAATTAAAGGAACCATCCAAGAAAATCTGAGGTTTGTTATAAACTAGCCAAAAGGAAAACTATTTCCAATTTTTTTTTCACTTATACTAAGATAAGAATTATATGAATTTCTGATAGTTGTGAAACCGATTTTTGCAGGGAAATAGATTCCCTCAAACTCGAGGCCCACAGTAAGAGTAAAAATGGACCATCCTTTCAAAGTTTGCTTTAAAAAATTACCGTATTTGTTAAATTCTGTGACTTTATTCTGTTATCAGCAGGGAGCTGGTTCACCTTCATAAAGCTTTATAATACGCCTTACAATGTATTTAGCTCTCACTGCATAAGTGAATCCACAGACGTGAGTGGGAGCGCCAGGTTTCCAGGATCAATTCTAAGGAACCATCCCTAAAACACATAAGAGTCCTTGGCACAAGAGCCAGGAAAAGTGCTTTTATGCCAGCAGGATACTAACAGAGTGTGGGAGCTTGAAAGGCAGCAGTCTTGAATCCAGCTTCAACCTCTAAGCAGTAAGTTAAAAACCTGCAACATGAAATGAGCACGCAACCCCCTCCCCCCCCCTTTTGTTGATAGACACCTGAGCTCCCTTATGGAGGTATGAGCAGCTTCCATTATTAGGACTTCCCAAAGAGCTGATGACTTTGTGGTTCAACTTCACTAGTAACCAGTCACCTCCAGGTGACTCATTCAGGACTCATTCCTTGGTCTCATGTGCTTTTAATCCAGGTCAGCACAGGCTAAGTCTCCCATCTGTTTTCAACTCAGTCTCTAAAATACATATCCTTATAGAGACATACTGCCCAACGCCGCTTTTGGCATAGCAGATTCAACCTAAAAGATAAGGGATACACAGAAATGTTTAATTCATAACATTTCTCTCCAGAAACAGAACTCACCTTTGCTAGTGAGAGGTCATCTCATATTTCTGCAGATCAGAGCGTTTGAACACCAAGAAGTTTTCAAAGCCCTGGAGGCAAATAAAAGAAACTGAGAGACTTCCACATTTCCCAATGCTTTGCCCTGGAGCACTCAGCTTATTCACCTCTGCAGCAAGACTTGAGCAAATGACAGCTTAATACCAACATACAGCCCGGTACAGTAGCAATAGGTCAGGAAATTCTTTGAGCTCAGAGTGATCTGTGATCACGAGAACATCCCACAGACAGAGCAAGCCCTGGGAAGTGTCTAAAATCAGGTGGTCGCTGAACAATCAAAGGTGTTTGTCACCTGGTTGTGGTAGATCTGGGAGGAGACATTTCAGTTATTGATGTTTTAGCCCTCAGTATTGCTAAGAGTTATTCAGTACTTCTGAAGTCCTTGGACACCACTAAAACATAATGGAAGTGCTAAACATGAATCTCTTTCTTGTTGCAGAGAATCATTGAGAGCCTATGTGTTGAAGGTCTCCTCCAGACCATGCTTTCTACTGACATTCAGGAAGACTGTCTTCATTGCGTGACATCTTGCCTTGCTGAGCTGGCAAAGCAAGGTAGGGAAGCAACCCCACCATAAATGGCTCAATCTGAGAAGCGTACGTATCCCTTTATTAATCCTAATGGGAGATGAAGCCCAGGTCTTTCCCTTTAAATTTACTGGGAGTTTTGGCATAAGCTTCAAGAAGAGCAAGATCCGACTCACTGGCGGGAGACACGGGCTCCGTTGTTTGCACTTTTTTCTGTTGAACTGCTTAAAATTTTTTACTCAAAATTCTTTGTGCTGAACTTTACTTCTGTACATGGCCTGTCTACTTTTATTTGTAAGGTCACCCAGTTTCTCCAGCTGAATTCATTTCACGACAGCAGAAACTAGTATAAGAGGAGAAAAAGGCTAAAATACCAAGTGGCTGTTTCTCCTTAAGTTTATTGCACATAGATTTTATAAGAGATCCCAAACTACCACCTGTGGAAGGTACAGTACTCCTCATGGCACAGAGGACCAATGTAAATCTTCCCAGCGTGTCCCAGCACTGGATGTTGCCTGTCAAACACTTCATCTCCTGCATCTCTCGTAACCACCATGCAACTGGCAACATGTCACATTTAGTTTTGCAAGAGGTGCCCAGCAGCTGCTGGACAGACTGAGCCCACTAGGCAAGAGTGGATCTCGCGCATAAAATGATTCATTCTTTCAGAACACAAAACCAACAAAATAAAAATCCATCAGCCTTTCTATGAATCAAACCCACGGCCCTACCGTACTGAAAGCATGCCCTCAGGACATGACCCTTTTTTACAATCTAAACATACTTAGTGCACTTATTTTCCTTCTCCAGGTGTGTAAAGGATTTCCTATTTAGGCAGTATGTTTTCTGGCAGGCCTCTCACCTTCGTTTCTTCGACCCTGGTGTTTCTGTTTACAGACTACTCTCTTATCTTTGCCTCCTCCAGAAGGAGCCACGTTATGCATGGTCCAACGGATGGATGAACCCTTGACAAAGTGCTTGGTGAGGCTGGCTGGTCAACTGGAACATACTGAGGCATCCTTTCAAGCTGCCTCCATCATCCAGCACATGACAGGTCACGGTAACTGTCACACAGCATTAACTGTGCTTTCAAAGATATTTACGGCTGTCTGGAGTGAAATGAGCCTTTTTCCAAAGGAGTTAACTCTCAGGCACCAAACAACCTTTAACATTCCTATAGCATCCTCCATCTGGTCTCTACAAGTTTATTAACATAAAAGCGCCTACAGTCACCCTTGAAATACACATAAAACAGTGCATGAGAAAGCCAAGGGATGAAAATGGGCCAGAGATAAAGATCTGGTTCAGGTGTTTGTTGCCTTCTTCAAGCACTGCCATTCTGCAAGGCTAGTCTGTAGCCAATTCTGAGGTCCTTAAGAACAGCTGAAGTAGGAAAGTGGAACAGCGCAAAACACTCCTTACCAAGGGAAAGATGAGAACGTGTTTCAGACAAGAGGCACTGTTGCATCTTTCCGTTTGACCCTCCTTCTCAGTATATACAATGGGATGGCATTCCCCACAGACAGGAGCAGAGGTCGGTAGAGACAATTACAAGGGGATGGTTGTCTTCCAAAATTTTAGGTCAACTCTGCTCCCTGACCAGCAAGAGGAAAGCATCTTACTGAACCAAACACTGCCGTTGTAATTCTAGACCAGATTAGCAGGAGCATTGAAGTAAAGTGGCTTTTAAGTATGTGGCCTGTATTTTTTTTAAGTTTTAGTGAAAAAGAATGAAGAGAGCATTATTTTTACCTGCAGAAAACAAACAGCTTTATGCCTAATACACTTGTCCCATGCAGCTGAGAGCCTCTAAGACTTGCAAGAAAAAGGTGTTCAGATGATTCTTGCCACGTTCTGTAGAAAAGCATGGTTAGATTTTAGTCCTTAGATGTGAGAGAAGCTGAAGTCCATAATGAGTCTCTAATAGGGGAAAACACAAAGCTGTTTCAATCCTACCATCGAGGATTTGCAACAGAGCAGACTCTCAAGTAGTGAGCGGAGTCCAACAGCATAATCGCTTCAGGGATGGGTTAGCACGACAGGCTGATCAGTCCGTAAATCAGCACGCACCTCGCACACGGACCAGCTTCCTGGCACAGCAGCCCACTCGGCGTTTTATTTACCTGAAGCATCAGCGATACCGTTAGAGGCCGTAGTACCTGGAAGTCCTTTGCCATTCTTTGCAGTAACATTGGTTGTAGCTGGAGTTAGATGAGTCATCAACGACCTTAAACTGATTTTTGTAACAACGTTTTCAAAGTGTTTTAAAGGCTCCTATTGATCTCCAGTGGTTCTCCCATTTATGCAGAAAAAATGATGCTTTTGGTGAAGCGTCACATTGGAGAGATTCAGGCCTACCTCAAGAATTTTCTTACCCACCAAGAGATCCGCTTTCAGCAGCTGGGCATCTCTACGTTCTGCAGACTGCGGGAAGGTACGTCCTTCCCCCTGGGCCGAGCCCCGGGGCGCTGCCAGACACTGCCTGCTCCTGTCAGCGGCCAACAGGCGCTGCTTTATAACAGAAATGACGGTGCCGGGCAACGTCCTCTGGGGACTAGCTCTGCTGACTTAAGCAGACAGAATCACCTCAAGGGTAGCTGTCACCTTACCTGTTTTTAAGTAACAGAGTATCTTACGATAAAGGCAGGGGTTGGTTGTTTGCTTTAAAACTAAAGGCTTTCTAATCAGCAGGGAACCAGGACTTCAGGTACAGATGGTTTTATCCAATATAAGAATGTTTGGCACTAGACGCAACCTAAAAACTTTTCAAATATTAATTTAGTTTAGTTTGGTAAAGCAAGCAAACAAGCAAATTGCATGATTAGCTGGTATTAAAGCTGGGAAGCCCCACATCTTTTTCATGCTTTAAATTCTGTTCCTTGATTTTTTTTCCATTTTTGGTAAGTTTTTTTGGGTTTGGGTAGAAGTCGAGTACAGATGAGAGTTACAATATGGTAATAAATGTACATAGCGTGTATCTGCACATATGCAGAGCCAGAGCCAAGACCCTGCTATGTCTTGATATGCACCTGTTGCATAAGGCTGAATTTGGCCGCTGAGCTTTAGGCATCTGGGTCAGGAGAACTTAGCAGCAAACAACCTTCAGTGGTCGTAGGGACGAAAACCGAATTTGTGTCTGCTTTGTGTGGTAGAAGAATATTGTTCTGCCTTCTCTGTACTTTACACTGCAGTAAGAACCATCAACTGTATCTAACCTGAAATATAAGCTTTCTAAGCATCTGCATTAAAATACAGGGAAAAACAGCAGGTTGCCTAACACTTGTTTTTCCTCTTCAGATCCAGAATTTTCATTAGCGTTCAGAAAAAGCCAAATGGCCAAACTCCTTGAGCAAGTCCGTCAGCAAACAGAAGAAACTCAGGAGCTCCTTAGGGCAGCTATTTGCCACGAAGCCAGTTAATGTTTAAGCCGGATGGCTTATGAAAACTTACCAGATCCAAGAGCCTGACCCTTCAGAGAAGGCAACTCTTTTCATTGGTTCCTGTCGTTAAAGCTTCCCTGCGACCTGCAGTTTCATCACGTAAGAGAGATGTTCCGGTAACAAGAATTGGAGCAGGTCAAAAGACAATCCCTTGAACGCTTTGGCTGGCTGCTTGAGCGTGCTTGGGGACTACGGCTACATTCCTCCCAACAGTTTGGAAAACACCTGTTATGCTTGGGTAATCTTCCATGGTGTGTTCCTGGCTTCCTCAACGCCCCCTCCAAAAAACCAGCGCTGTATTCGTGAGGTTTTATTCATGTAACGGGCCGATTCTACTGAAGAGGCATCTCTCGAGTAGGCAGGTTACTCTGCGTTCATCTTTATTTTGTTTCTGCTCCACGTCCCTTATTTCAGAGCACGCTCCAGGGCCTCGACTTTAGAAAAGAATAGAATTAACACAGTATAAAGGTAGCACGCTACTAACAGGTTACTACAGGAAGTAACTGCTAAGGGACAACTCGGAAATTGCAAGAAGCTGGTAAGAAACAAGAATAGGGCAAGCCTTAAGGCTGATCCTTGCCTACGCTGTAGGCACTGCTCTCCAGCAGAAGAGCAAAGGCACACCGAGGCAGGTAAATGTCGCATAGAGCATGTTCAGAATATAGCGGCTACCGTGAAAGATTTGGGCGAGATGTGTTTGAACACAGAAATCTGTGTTCTGCAAATGGTAAGTTATTTCCAAAGGTACTTGCAACAGGGGAAAAAAGTGAACATATTTTGCAAAATTAGGACCTGATCTTCTATTTTGATATTGATATTTCATTGTAAAAGGATTTAAAGAAAAAAAGCAGTAACATGTTTAAATTCAACTGATTTTCTTACATGTATACAGGATACCGAACAACCTCCCCTTCCCTCTCCTCCAGA